TCCCCAGGAGACGGTGAGTTCTAGTCCCGCCTTAGGCAGGAAAGCTAACTGGGTGACTTTGGGCCAACCACTGGGTGACAGTGAATTCTAGCCCTGCATTAGAAAGCGGTTCCTCTTGGAAGCCCCCGTACTCACATCTTCCTGCTGAAGTCCGGTTTCCTCCCCCCAGGCGATCAGGGGTTTGGCGTCGCCGGTGCCTGGTCTCCCAGCCAGGCGCGGCCTCTCGCACACGGCGCACAGGACGGTGGCCGACTCGTTCTCAAAGGTGCAGGTTTGGCAGGACCAGCGTCCTCTGGCCAGCTGGCCTTGGCTGGTTAGCTCGTCGTCCAGGCCAAGGTTCTGGGGGGTCTTGCACCCCCGGGGCCGGTCGCAATTTATGCAGAGGATGCAGGAGGCGTCGTTGTTCTTCTGGCACGCTGCGCAGCGCCAGGGAGGGCGCTGACTGGGGGTGATGTGGGAGGATGAGAGTGCGGGGAGGCTGGGGGCCCGCAAGGAAGTCGTTTCCGAGGGGATGCTAGAGAGGCTGTAAAGAGACGGGAACCCAAAACTGAATCAATCACAATTGAATGACTAACGAATACATTAATCAATTCCATAATTTGGATAAACCATCTGGCGCGTACAGGTTTCTCTCTCTGGGCACCATGAGAATATATATAGTTGGGGCGGGGGGGACGGGACTCCGTATTGGCGACAGGAAGGGCATCCGGCCAGTAAACACTCAGCTCGATTCAGTAGCCCCGACTCCACTGCGCAAGGGATTACGAGGTCGCTGAAAGATGATGATGATCTGGTGCGTGCAGATGGGGCCTTGACTTACAACCATTCGTTTAATGACCAAAGTTACAACGGCCCTGGAATAAGCCACTTATTATGTCCGTCACGTAGTGTCCGCACGATCACGTGATCAAAATTCAGGCGCCGGGCAACCGACGGTCGCAGCGTGATCGTCATTTGCAACCTTCCCTGCCGGCTTTCCACCAGCTAAGTCAATGGGATTTGCTTAACGGCCGCATGATTCGCTTAATGACCGCAGCAATTTGCGGCAAAAAGGAGTCATGAAATCGCTCGCAACTCGCTCACAATTTGGGCCCCATTGTGGTCGTTAAAAGTCAAGGACTACCTATATCCTAGATGCACCTTTTTGGGACGGGGGAGAAATAATTTCACGAGGGGGAAAATAAACGGAGGGGCGTTTTGCTTTGTACCCTGAAGTCAGAAGCCGGAAACCATTTCCCCCGTTTTGCGGGGGAGTGTCAGAGCCCGCAAGGCGTCGCGTCGCGAGGTCTGGCTTGGAGACTTGCACACAAGAGGCTACCTGGGGTTGGGGGGCGGTGGGGGACTCTGCCAGGCCCGGCCGGGGTTCTTCATCGGTACCCGATGGTGATGTGTCCGGGAAGGATGCTTATGAAACAGCCAATCGCAGTTAGGGCACAAACTCTGATTGCAAGCCGCACAGTGCTCCGACGGGGCTTCTAAACCACAAAGCAGGCAGGTGTCTGGAGGCAGGTTTCCTGCAGGCCGAAAAGAGAGAGAGGGGGGGGGGGGGGGGGGGGGGGAGGGAGGGAGGGAGGGAGAGAGACAGAGACAGATACAGAGAGACAGAGAGAGAGAGACAGAGAGAAAGACAGAGAGAGAGACAGAGAGAGACAGAGATACAGAGAGAGAGAGACAGAGAGACAGAGAGAGAGAGAGAGACAGAGACAGAGAGACAGAGAGAGAGAAAGACAGAGACAGAGACAGAGAGAGACAGAGATACAGAGAGAGAGAGAGATACAGAGAGAGAGAAAGACACAGAGAGAGAGAGAGAGACACAGAGAGAGAGACACAGAAAGAGAGAGACACACAGAGAGAGAGAGAGACAGAGACACAGAGAGAGAAAGACAGAGAGTGAGACAGAGAGAGACAGAGATACAGAGAGAGACAGAGACAGAGAGAGAGAGAGAGAGAGACAGAGAGAGAGTGAGACAGAGAAAGACAGAGAGAGACAGAGACAGAGAGAGACAGAGATACAGAGAGAGGGGGGGGCAGAGAGAGAGAGAGACAGAGACAGAGAGAGAGACAGAGAGAGAGACAGAGACAGAGAGAGACAGAGACACACAGAGAGAGAGAGACAGAGTGAGAGAGAGAGAGGGAGAGAAAGACACAGAGAGAGAGACAGAGAGTGACAGAGAGAAAACAACAATAATTTTCTCAAGTTTTGTTCTGCTTAGGTCTGAAAAAGTCAAGATTCAGTTCCATCTCTGCATCAGAGGCAGATTTTTATTTCCAAGTTGTCAATCACTCAATCAATCAGAATAGAGCTGGAACGGACCTCTGAGGTCTTCTAGTCCAGCCCTCTGCTCAAGCAGGAGACCCTTAACATTCCAGACAAGTGAAGAAGAGACTGGACAGTCTCTTCTTAAAAAACCTCCAGTGATGAAGGGCCCACAACTTCTGGTGGCGAGCTGTTCCACTGGTTAATTGTCCTCCCTGTTAGGGAGTTTCTCCTTAATTCCAGGTTGCTTCTCTTGATTAATTTCCACCCATTGTTTCTTGTCCTGCCTTCAGGGGCTTAGGACAATAGTTTGACCCCCTCCTCTTTGGGGCAGCCCCTCAAAGCCTCGAATGCTGCTATCACACTGATCCTTCTTTTCTGCAGACAAGCCAAACCCAAATCCTGCAACTGTCGTTCGTATGTTTTAGTCTCCAGGCCTTTGATCATCTTGCTCTTCTCTACACTTTCTTTGGGGGTAGGGTGCGGCTGAAATTAACTACAGAATCTACAGGTAGTCCTCGGCTTACGACCACAATGGAGCCCATACATTCTGTTGCAAAGTGAGACATTTGTTAAAGTGAGTTTTGCCCCATTTGACAAACCTTTCTTCCTGGCCACCGTTATTAAGTGAATCAACCGCTGTCGTTACGTGAGTAGTGTGGTTGTTCAAAACGTCACTGACCTGGCTTGGCAGACGGTCGCAAAAAGGGGAGCCCGTGACCCCCGGGACACTGCAACGGTCATAAAGATGAGTCAGTTGATGAGGACCATGTCACGGTGAGGATGTTGCAACAGTCATAAGTGTGAAAAACATTCGTAAGTCGCTCTTTTTAATGGTGTTGCAACTTTGAACGGTCATTAAATGGGCAGTTGTAAGTCGAGGACCATCTGTATTAGAAAGCTTCCAGAGCAGTTTCTGGAGATTCTCCGCCATCCAACTGGATTTTCTGGTTTTTTTTCCCTGAAGACGTTTCGCTTCTCCTCCAAGAAGCTTCTTCAGCTCTGACTGAATGTTGGGGAACGGAAGGATTTACACTCCTTGCAGACAGCTGGTTGTTTGCATCCTTTTAGAGGGTCCTTGAGGCCACTTGGAGGTTTGTCTGTGCCCTCAGGGGTCACCTGAGTAGTGCAAATGAGTGTGGAATCCACAACACAATCCTTTCAGAAGTCCCAAGAATGCCCCTCCTCTGTTTGCACTACCCTGGGGGACCCTGCGGACACAGACAAACCTCCAAGTGGCCTCGAGGACCTTCTAAAAGGATGCAAATGACCAGCCCTTCTGCAAGGAATATAAATCCTTCCATTCCCCAACATTCAGTCACAGCTGAAGAAGCTTCTCGGAGGAGAAGCGAAACCTCTTCAAAGAAAAACGAGAAAGTCCAGTAGCGCCAACAGGGGGGGGGACAACTTTTGGGACCCCTCGGTCAGCTTTTTTTTTTTTAGGCCACTTTAAGACTTGCGGACTTCAACTCCCAGAATTCCTCATCCAGCAAAGCTGGCTAAGGAATTCTGGGAGTTGAAGTCCAGAAGTCTTAAAGTGGCCACGGTTGGGGACCCCTGCTCTAGAGCAGCGTTTCTTAACCTCAGCCCCTCAAAGAGGTGTGGACTTCAACTCCCAGAATTCCCCAGCTGGGGAATTCTGGGAGTCGAAGTCCACATACCTTCAACGGGCTGAGATTGAGAAAGATGACTCCTGGATGATCTACGATCGGTCGGAAGATCCTTCAGACGTCTCCCCTGCCTCTTAATAAAGAAGATCCTTCTTCTTCCAATCTTGGTTTATCTCAACCCCGCCAGCATTTGCCATCCAGGTTCGATTACGAACCGGGTTTGCCTTACAAAATACGCCCCACGCATGTGGCAGCTTACAACCAACCCCCTGCGCCTTTTTCTCCCATTACCTGCGTGAATCATGGTTAAAAGTGGATTCAGGGATCCAGCATCGGCCGTCTTGTTGACCTGGAGAAAGACAGAAGAAACAGGATCGTCGGAAGGAGGAGCAGGATAAACCTTCATGCTAGGTTTTCCTCCCTTGAAGGCCAAAGTAGGCCTTGAAGAAAATTTAGAGGCCATCCTGAAGGAAGGAAGATCAGCCCGTAGGCCAGTTGATGATCCTTCTCCCTCCGGATACAGAGAGTCCTTGACTTATGACCACAATCAAACCCAAAATATCTGTTGCTAAACGAGATGTTTGTTCAGCGGACCTCTGGCTGTTCGGTTGTTAAGTGAACTTGGCTTCCCCGTTTGTCAGAATGCCGCAAAAGGGGGAGCACGTGACCGCGGGACACTGCGGCCGTCATAAACATGAGTCCGTGGCCAAGCACCTGAATTTTGATCACGTGATGGGAGGCTGCAACCGTCGTTAAGTGTGGAAAATGGTCTGAAGTCACGTTTGTCGATGCCGTGGCGACTTTGAACGGTCACTAAACGAAACCGTGATAAGTCAAGGATGGGCCTGTGCGTGGGATTATCTCCTTCATCATCCTCAGCCAGCACATCTGGTGGAGGGATAATGGAACCCAGATTGGGAAGCTGGTTTCTCTGGGGTCAGACAAAATGGGATCCAGACAATATTATAAAAGATAATCCGTGACTCACAACCGCAACTGCAAGTCACAACCCCGGTTGCTAAGCATTGGGGTGGCGGTTAAGCAAGACCTGCCTGATCTTTACGATTTTTACCCCCCGCCCACGTTGTGAAGTGAATCCCCGAGGTTGTTAAGTGAATCACGGTCGTTAAGCGAATCGCATGGCCGTTCAGGAAACCCAGCTTCCCCCATCAACTCTGCTTGCCGGAAGCCGGCTGGGAAAGCCGCAAACGGCGATCAGGGGAATCCATGCCTAGGTTGGATCCCATGATCCCAGGGACACTGTGACAGTCGTAAGTGCGAAGCCTGCTCACCACTCACCTTTTTCAGTGGCGTTGTTAACTTTGGGCAGTTCTTAGACGAATGGTTGGAAGTCAAGGACCACCCTGTGCCGATGTCTCTCGGCCTTGAACGCTTGAAGATGGTTGGACTTCAACTCCCAGAATACCCTACCCAGTGGGGGGGAATTCTGGGAGTTGAAGTCCCCCCATCTTCAAGGGGCTGAGATTTGAGAAACGTTGCTATGGAGAGGCTTACAAACAAAAGGGTCTGACCCAGCTCCCCAAACACGACAAACCCTCTGAAGTGAACTCCAAGACTCCTTTAACAAGGGGCACCGGCCAAAATTTTCTCTCTCACCGCAGGCTAACAAGTCCGGCCGGCCAGAAGATGAATCGTTGTCTGCCACAT